GTAATATGTTAAATTTATTAAGTTTAGCCATATTCTGACTAAAAATAAATCAAAAGAATAAAAATGTTTATAACAAAGGTATATTAAGTTTAAAGTTTGTTTGGAGGGTCACAATCCAAAGGAACCTCCTTTGTCGTGTCGAGCAAATAAATCCAGGTCGTGTGATTTTCCCCAATCTTACCTTGTCCGAGTCCAATTTAAAATTTCGCGCAAGGATAGGTTCTGCAGCAGCAACCCAAGTATGTTAGAACCGATCCCTCATGATGGCTAGATTGCCTGCAAAGTTTCTGATGAAGACCCACCAAAAGAAGCGCAAGGAGCGAGATCGTAACGAGGACGAAGAGAGCGACAAGAGCCCAAGTAAGCTAGATCCGATCCCTTCAGATGTAGAGGTGGAGATACTGAGTAGATTGCCGGGAAAGTCTGTTATCAAGTTTCGATGCGTATCCAAGATGTGGTCTTCCATCATCCGCAGCCAAATATTCGTCGATTCCTTCTTCTCTGTGTCCTCAAGGCGATCCCGATTTATAATCGCTTTCAGTAACAGTGTACATATTCTCTTCTTGATGCCAAGCGTTTGTTCATATTCTCTTCTTCACACGAGGGAGAGGAATCTTCTTCTTTGGCTGCCAATCTCGACATGGAAATACCTTCACTGACCTTGGCTCACGGCTCCAACTGTCCTTCCCTTGATGGCTTTATCGTTTCTTGTCATGGTGCTCACTTCACTATTTGTAACCCTACCACTGGGCAAGTCATCACCTTTCCCACCAAAGGGACGCTCACAGTTTTGGGTTACGATCCTCTTCATCATCAATTCAAAGCATTGTCCCTGCTGCGCTCTCCTTCTCCTCCTCCTGGCCAGGATCATTATTGTGAGATGCACGAGGTTTTAACACTTGGAGCAGGAGGAGAATCACGCAATCAGGTTATCACCCCGCCTTATCGCCCTCTAACTAGGGGACTATGCATCAATGGTTTTGTGTATTATGGTGCTTGGTCCCCAGCACCAACCAATCCGGTGATTGTGTGTTTTGATGTTAGATATGAGAGGCTAAGCTTTATCAAAGTGCCCAAGAGTGTCCTGTCTATGCAGAGTGATTCTATGTTGATAGAATACAAAGGGAAGTTAGCTTCCATTGCAAGACCCCCATTTGCTCCTTTCCACAGTTTTGATTTATGGATACTAGAGGATGTGAAGGAACATGATTGGTCCAAACAAACATTTGAGCTTCCCTTCCCTCTCGTCAATATGACTTCTCCTGGCACCAACAAGGCTGGTGAAATCATTTTCGCCCCAAAAACTCTCCCACACGATGCCCAACCCTTCTTCATTTTGTACTACAATCTAGAAAGAAAAGACATCAGAAGAGTTCAGATCCACGGAATTGCAGACGATCAAGGGTTTAGGCGCCGCTATCGACTCTCAGGCAGTTGTTGTGTCTCTATCTCACCCCACCATGTTGAAAGCATTGCCTCTTTTTAATGTATTTCTTTCAATGCTCCTACTGCAAGAGCTTGACAAACTCACAAGGATCCTACTGCATCGTTAGTTGATGGGTTGAGCCCAGTCCCTAGCAAACTAGTTTGTTATCTACATGTGATAATTTTCTCTCGGTGTTGCTCATAGTTTAAGTG